GGGGGGGGGGGGGAAGGGGGAAGAGGAAGGATTAAACGCCTACAGGGATTCTGCGCCTACATCGAGCGAGATGAAAGCGCCGCCGTCGCCGGATGTCGCCCTTTTAAAGGGCACGGGATGAGGAGAAAGGGGTGGCTTTCCCTGCGGAAAGGACAGGACGAGGTGTTGCATGACGAACTCGAGGACGACTCTCTGTCATGGAAATTACTCAGAAGATTACTCTCTAATTGGACCTCCTCGATGATGGAAAGCGCTCATCGATAAACGACAGCTGTTTATCATAAGCGTAATTGTCGAGATACTTTTACTATATAATTACGCTACAGCTACCGTCTCTAGGCGCGTTTTCACGCCTGCGAACGGATTCTACGATGAGACACCGTTCGCGAAATCTGCTGATCTCGCAAGCTGCATATTTCTCTCATCGTTGATTTACCACTAATTTACATGAATTCATTTATCATTAATTTAACCGTCCCTTACTCCGAGTCCGAAGAAGAGGATGCGTATAAATATATATATATTTATATATATAAATTTATACATACATAAATATGTATATATGTATACTCGCGCGAGACAAATCTCGTCTTCGTCAGCCCTCGCGCGCATTTTCAGCGAACGGGAAGAGAGAAAGTAGACCGGAAGTAGCGCGCGGATTGGCCGGAGATATCGCTTGCGCGTCCGCTAGGCGAGCAGCAACTCACCGCGGTGTTGACGCTGCTGCTGACGGTGATGTTGATGACGTTGCTGCTGCTGATGCTGATGAAGATGTTGGTGATGGTGGTAATTAGCGGACGAGGTGGGCGACGGTCCGGCCGAGGATGGCTGCTGCTGCTGATGATGATGATGACGCACGTCGTCGCGGCTCGGCGTCAGGTCCAGGTAGAGGCCGGAGGCCGCCGAGTCCTGACAGCTGCAGGACTCGGTGCCCGTGGCGTTGCAGCCGGCGCAGCAGTCGGCCTCCTCGGTCGCCAGGCTCATTGGCGTCTCCGGCGAGTCCACGGGCCGCGTGCCGACGAACGAGCTCTCCATCCAGCACAGCTTCACGCTCCCTTCGGGGTGCCGACACAAATGCGAGCGATTAGCGCCGGGGTCATGAGCGACCCTCCGAGAGGCGTCTGTCTGTCTGAGTACTCTCTACCGGTTTCCTAAGCTCTTTTTCGCTCCCTATTTCCGCCCGTGGGGTCGTTTTAGTCGGTCTTTTTGGGAAAGAGCGTTCATCCCGTTCCGGGATATACCCCGACAATAAGCAATAACAACCACGAATATTTCGCGATATTGTTTTCGCTATGAATTCTCTATAGAGAAATTTGGAGCTCTTCTCGCCCAGCGAATCGAGAATTCACCGTCGAAGGAGCCGTTCCCCGAGAGACTCGGCCATCTCGACTACGCTCCTGCGCGGCCGTAAACGTCGCAGTTCCGATGCATTTACGAAATTTATTCCCCCCGGCGGGTAAGCCGATTAAATAACTATGACTTGTCCTAATGCGCAAGACACCATGAGAAAAAGAGCGAGAAAGACAGAGAGAGAAAAAGAGAGGGGGAAGGGGAGAGAGAGATAGACACTATCGCGCGCGTTATATAATACCGCGGGGATTTATAATCTCTCGTTAAGGCTCTACCGACGATCAAGCTCCGACGATGCGGGCATTAACCATTTTTATTGACCGCATAATCGCCTTAAGTAGAGGCGCGGTGAGACATCGAAGTGACAAAGGAAGCTAAAAATAATCCCAAGTAGACCGACTATAATGCAATATATAAAACGCGCGACTCCCCACGATCTTAATGCATACTCCAATTGCGCGGAACAACTTTATATAACATATTTCTAAAGATAATATATCCGCAATATCTACATATGTATATATATATATATATATATATATAAATGTATATGTATATAGATGCACACACACACATACGTCATAATCTGCCTCGAAAAGTAGCGTTAATGAAGCATGAGAGAATGAAAAGACAGAGCCTTTCAGTATCAAGCCGCACGCGGCGGTATATCAAGTACCCGATAAGTAAGCAGCCGAGTTAGTTCCACTGTCAATGTAAATATTAGTATTGCAAGCGTGATTAATAATCGCACGTCCTAGTGGAGCGTCGCATCGATCTCCCCCTCCCGTTATATCAGGTGTTCCGCGAAAACCGAATAGCGCGTCGAATTTCCCACGGCGGGACGGAAGTCCGCGATCGCGAAGCAGTTTACGTAAGTCCCGACGCGTAAAGGTGTTTTTCATGTTTTTCTTCTTTACCTCGATCTGCAGCTCGTCCGCATTCTTACGTCCGATCGCGTCCCGCCGAGATATAGGGACGCGCGAGTTCTTCGCCTCGAGTAGCAGCGGGTAGTCAAGTCAAGGGGTGAAGAGGCAGGGGGGCGGTTCGAATTTCAGGGTGATCTATTTTCGGTGGCGACGGCCGCGGGACTATCGAAATAGCGACTTGGTCTCGACGATGCGCTCGGAAGCGCCGTTGGGACACTGTCGGGCTTGTTCGCGATGAACGAGAGAAGGTCGCGATGCGCCAACCGGTGCTGGCCGCCGAGTATTACGGCCGTCACAGCGCCACAATGTTGCCGGCGGAAATCGAGGCACCATTCGCGAGCCATTTCCACGATTGTGCGATGCCTCGCACGATACCTCTCGGCGATCACACCGGAGAATACTCGGAGGTCGTGCCTCTCTCGGAATACATGTCTTTTTCTCCGCGGCGTCTTCCAAATTCGCGTCCGATCGAAGGCAAAACCGACGTCACTCTTCCGCTTATTGATTCCGGGATTGAGAACACGTGGCGTCTAAATCTCACAGCGGTAATTGTGGCACAAGTGAAAAGATCTTTGGGGCGTTGAGTAACGTGGGAAAAGATACATATATATATATATATATATATATACACTTGGCAGTAATGTACATTTTGGTCAGTACAACACACTGTTGGAGGAAAAAAAAATGAAACAAAATTCATCGTGAAGAGCAGCAAGGCTCCGTAAACATGGAACACCATCGATACAGAAAAATATGTTTTAAAGACCGACCTGTTTTGACCACTGCGATGCGAAGAACCAGCTGAGATGCATAGAGAAACGGAGATAGATAGATAGGTAGAAACAGAAAAAGAGAGAGAAAGAGAGAAAGAACAAAAATAGATAGAAAAATAGATCCAGAAAGATGTAGCTTGCAGTAAAGGTGACACCAGAGGCGACAAAAATGAAGAACATTAAAAATTAGGAAAAACTCAAAATTACCTTTGTGGCGGAGAGCAAAGGTGATGGTGGTGTTGGTGGGATGTATTTTTTTTGTGGCGGGGGTGGTTTAGTGCTCACCTCGGGGGCTGGTCGACCTCGCTCCGCCCCTGTCGTCCCAATCTTCAGGTCGAGGTCGAGGCGAGAGTCTGCCACCGCCGCCGCCGCCGACCTCTTGGCCGCTCTGCACGTAGTGCACGATGGCCGAGGTCACCTCCTTTATCGAGTTCCGCACTTCCAGCTGCTGATTCGTTGTCTGCTGTTGCTGATGTTGCTGCTGCTGTTGCTGCGAAGTAAGCATAAGGTCCAAGGAGTCCAGACGCTCTAAGACTTCTGAATGAGTTCAAGACACGCGGAGCTTAAGATACGCTCTTTGACGAGGCAGCAGCCAGATCGGAACGATCGCGAGAAAAAGGAGCTGCGACAGGTCGCTGAAAGGGATCACCGCGAGAGAATGCGCAAGATACCCCGGGGGGATAGGCAGATGGATATTTGTATGCGTCCGCGCAGAGAGGAGAAGCCGCGAGAAGACGCGAGACGACAGGACGACGCGGCGAGCTCTTTCGCTGCCAGAAATTCTAACTTTAGCGAGCGGCGTCGCGCTTGCGCGCCTTCCCTCGCGGAAATTAAAAATAAATCGCGCAAACAGCAAAGCACGCGCGCGCGGGAGCAGCAGGAGGAGGAAAAGGACGCAAAGGGTCACGCAAATCGCGGTGCGTTGGCTTGAGATGGTAATCTGGAGGAGATCTCGCTTCCCAACACTCCAAACAGTGATATTGCAGTCGTAGCGAAAATCATGTGGATACGAGAAATTAGCTGAGATCAATAAGTGACCAGCAAACACTGCGATGTCGCGTATACGTTTTCTACTTAATCAATATATAGATAGACGGAATTTATGTCGGAACTATTTGTGAAATTTAGCAAGAAAGCGCTCATCCAGATTAAGGCAAGATTAATAATGATTGGTAATAAAACCTAATTTTTTATGCAGATATTAGAATGCTGCTACTGTGAATTCTACGTACCACAAATAATTTTGCAGCAGATACAAAAAAGCTGCGGTTAATTTTAACCGTGACATTTGGAATTCTATTTGGATCAGCACTTTTTTTTAATGAAATCTACGTGGATCCGTTTTGCAAATGTGTGAACACACTTCATGCAACGCGGACATCCGTGGATTGGCCTAGTACGTATCTTCGCAGATATCGATTGGAAAACTAGGCGGAATCCTAAAAGCATCAGCTCGGGAGAAAGTGGACGTCGAGCGCGCTGACGTCAATCATTTCTACGTTGAATTTTGCATTTACCGGTCAGCGTGTCGGTCTGAATTCACGGATAGATGAGGGATGAGGAACTGAATGAGGAACAATCGGCGAGGCTGCAATCGATAATCACGATGAATGCCGTACATTTCAGCTCCGTTCATCTTTGTGCCGAAATTAACTACGATTGAGAAGGAAATCGATGTCGCACAAAAACCACCGGAACATTCGCGCGGCTTCGTCGCGTGTCGGAGAACGGAGAGGGGATAATTGGGACGATCAAAACGCGCGCGAAAGTTTTTCATGACGGGGTTACCTTGTTTGCGGCCTGCAGCTGAGGAAGTATACCCTGAGCGAGACGTTCTGCCGGCGTGCGCGGGTTGGTCAGCCGTTCCTGAGAACGCCAGCCCAAATAGGGCTGTCGGTGATTGAAGGACGACCTGGCCGAACTCGCTGGCGAACTGCCGGCGCTGTTGAGCAAGCTGGTACTCCATCTCGAAAATACGGGGGGCGTGGGGCTGGGACTCAGAAGGGCACCTGCGGCAATAGAAACGGAGATCACTTTCAATTGTACATTGAAAGATAAGGAGGAAGAGATAGATAGATAGACAGAGAAGGGGGAGAAGGAGAGAGAGAAAGAGAGAGAGAGAGAGAGAGAGAGAAAGAGAGAGAGATCTCACTTGTAATCCTCATGAACTTATAGTTATTTCCAGTTGTATCTTTTCGTTGTTCCAACAAGAAAGTAATAGCAGCAATACACAGACAAAATATTGTAGTTAAAATTACATTGAAATTGCACTCCATTTTACAGTATTTCGTGTGTAAAGACGGAGTATACTGAAATTGCAGTACAAATTACTATAGAAACAATTAACTCAAAAACTTACCTGATATATGATATAAAAGACATTCAAGTAATTGCAATTTGGTAGTAAAATGTCAAACATAATATTTTTAAACGAATGTATAATAACTTTTTCACACTTCTGTATAATCCCAGATAACAAAAATTTCGTTTTTGCTGCAGTATTTTCTCCATGTATACATTATCACTATAGTTATTATTAGTACTATAAAGAACAGTACAGAAACTAAAACATTATTTTCCTGGCAATATAATAAATTCTATTATACTATACATTATATTATACTATATGATTATCGTCACGATTACAGTCGCGAGTGCGAGACACAAGAATTGGTATCCGCGTGATTTCTTTTTATAAGGACCAAACCTTCTTCTTCTTCTTCTTCTTCTTCTCCTTCATATTCAATCTCTACGTTGCGAGTTTGCAGCGGTCAAAGGTGAATTCTTTTCTCGTCTTACCTGTGGTCGGCTGTCGGTTGGAAGACGACGAGAGGGACGACAGGGAGGTGGTCTTGGAGCCGAGGGCGCGCCACCCTCCGTGCTGCGACGCGTCGGAGTGTCTTTTCAGTCGGAAGCCGTCGCGGGCTGCCGGCGAATTCTTGTACCAGTCAGGCACGTTCAACCGCTGCAGCGACCGCTGCACACGGAGTTCGTGCTCGCTTGGCACGCGCTCGCCCACCTTCTGCAGCTCATTCTCCGGCGGCTGCAACGACAAGCGTTTTTCGCGTCCTTCAGCGTTCGCCAGTTGCGTGGGATTGATCGGTGAAAATTACGCTCGCGGTAAACCACGAGAAATGTCCGCGCAAGTTCCGAAACGAGGAGCAGATATCGACGACGGTCATGACGCAATGATCAATGTCGATCGATTCTGAATAAATTTTGTCGGTAAATTAAAAGGAAGCAGAATCTTGCTTAACACATAGATCAAGTTAAATCAAATAAAAGTACAAATTAAATCAATGAAAAGAACCAGCCAGAACGAAAGTCGATGAAATCTTGAGCCAAATATAGACGCAATCATTTCAACCGTCTTCGACTCAGAACTTACGTGACAGAAGTTTCTTGCTAAATCTATCGTGTTTGTATCCTCGACATGTCCATATCACACGCATATACACGCACACACGACTACGTCTAATATCCGGTGAATGTCACCCTCAACGTTTCCCACCCCTTGTTCGCGATAAGTCGCCGCGGGGAGTAAGCGCGATGCTTTTGGGACACCCGGTGGCGTGTGGCTGACAGATTGAACGGTGGTAGTTACGTGCGAAGCGGTGCGAGACATCGATCCTGCTTTTGCGAAAGTTTCAGGGACAAACCTGCGCCAGGGTCGACACGAGGTCCTCGTCGCAGCTTCTCGACGCGGACTCGATCAAAATTCGACACGCCGCGCTACTAACAAGCTCGAGAGCCGTCGCCATCTCGTGCGTGAGAGCGTGAGAGCCGTGGGTCGCTTCGCGATCCTACCAGATCTATAATCGAGGATGCATGTCCTCCGAGGAGACGCGTCGTCGACGTGAGCGCTCGCCGATCTGGGAACGACACTGCATTTTATTCGCCGACTCGCTCCTACTTTCAGATCATCATTTTGTCAGACACAGCTTTATTCATCATTTTGTCAGACACGCTTTATTCATCGCCCTCTAATCAACTCTCTCTCTCATTGGTCTACTTCAGTGACAATTAAATCCTAAGACATGAAATAAACATTCTAATGTACCTTGAATTTACGAAAAACTTAAAAAAAACTCGTATACTATTACAAAAACCAGAAAGGAGATTGATGAAAACGGTCAAGTAATTGACTCGTCCCGCACAGCATAATCTACTAAAAGATGTCTCAGGTCTGTATTAATAGTTTTGAAAGTAATTTCCAGATTTGAATTTAGAGTTAGGTATTGCGATCAAATCGCGACTACAAAAACATCGCATATATCATGCGATTTAACCAAAAAAATTGGGTTTAACTCCAAATTGAAATCGGAGGACTGTATCGATAGTTGTCACTTGTCGAAAGTTGAAACTTGTCTGACGTGAGATACTCCATTTACTATTCAGAAATATATCCAAGTTTTCAATTGAATTATGATATATGTGACATTTATATCTGCAACCGCGCGATTCAATTGAAAAAGTCTCATCTAATTCTGGATTCAAACCTGAATGTCTCACTTGAGACGAGTTTCAAATAATAACTATTGATACGAGCCTAGATACCAATTTTCCAGTTGAACTATACGTGACATTACATTGGAGTAATTCAACTGAACAACTTTCATCTGACTCTGAACTCGAATCTGAACGTCTCACTTGAGTAGATTATTAATCCATTAAGGCCCAAGAGAAAACCACTAAGGATAGGCTTTCAAAAACCATCTAAATTAGGGCAAAACGTCGAAATTTGTTAAAAAGTAAAAAAAAATTTGTGTTGGATTTCAAAATTCAAGATGGCAGACCAATATGTCGGCCCAAAAATTTGAAATTTTGACCTATTTGAGTGAAAATATTCGTATAGGAGGGGTTTGGGGTTCGCTGAGTATGAATATATACTTATTTTTTCAAAATTCGTAATGGCGGGTTCAATATGGCCGCCTAAAAATACGAAAATTTGATATAGTTTTGTTATTTGGCGAAAAATCCAACCAAATTATAAACTATCTTTCGAAGATGTTTGGTTTGGGGCAAAACATCATACTTTAGCAGATTGTAGAAGAAAAATGGTTTTTTGACTTTAAAAATCAATATGGCGGCCAAAAATTTTTAATTTTGATTTATTTCAATGAAAGTACGTTTTGAAAAATTTTGAAAAAATAAGTGCATATTCATACTCAGTGAACCCCCTTTATACGGATTTTCACTCAAATAGGTCAAAATTTCAAATTTTCCGGTCAACATATTGGTCCGCCATCTTGAATTTTGAAATCCAACACAAATTTTTTTTTCACTTTTTAACAAATTTCGACGTTTTGTCCTAATTTAGGTGGTTTTTAAAAGCCTATCCTTGGCGGTTTTCTCCTGGATCTTAATGAGTTAATGTCGATCTTAAAGATCTACCAATTAAAAAGAAAAAGAAAAGGTCGATGCTCACGAATTTTATGTTTACGCAATATTGACGCGTCGTTTCAAGTTCTGACGGGCAACGGACGCTGTTCAGAAGCCAGCACTCGATTCATCATATTTCTCACCGCGTGCCGACGACTTCTTCGCCGATGCTAATCGCGCGGGGAGGGCCGCGTAACGGATGCATGCTGTACGTGCGTGTGATTTTCACGCGCACGTCTAACGGGACGTCGGGAAGCAACAACGGATGGCCTCCACGTCCTCTTCGTCATCAAGCGAGGGAGTGGTTCGTCGCGCACATGTGCGCCCGCGCGCTCGCCGGCCCAAGGAAAATATTTTTCGGTTGGTTGTGAGTCGTTCGACCGTCGCCTATACCGACGGAGCCCCGCGTGTTCTACAAATATTCTACCAACGCGAACCTCTGCCCTTAACGTCTTTCTGGAAGATGTTGCAGCGAGAGGTTGGCGCGTTCTATTAGAGCGGTAGCATCGGGCAGGAACTCGAATCGACACGAAAACCTCATAATTTCACGCTTGATTCTCGCATTCAGCCAAATTTGCACGACGGAGCGTCGAGGATGCCCGGTTATTTTGCCGATGGGACCAAAATTGAGGGTGGAATTTCTGTTTCGTCGATTTCCCGAGACGCCGAAGAGACGTTGATGATAATGGCGGCAGCGGTGGAGGCTTTAAAAGTACGAGGCCAAGGCTGAACGTGGGATAGAAACGATTCGTGTGCGGAAATGTGAGGGGGCGTTTACGTAATGCGGATAGGAAGAGTATGCGGCGAGACAGAGAGAGAGAGAGAGAGAGAGAGAGAGAGAGAGAGAGAGAGAGAGAGAGAGAGAGAGAGAGACACTTCGTCGGATCGATTTCGCGAGCCGCTAAATTTTTGATAAAACGGAACATCCATTACTGTCGAAAATATCCGATGCACGAGTTCCACAAATTGCGAAGGATATCACATCGCGAAGGCTCTCCCTCGCTTTATCGCGAAGGCTCTCCCTCGCTTTATCGCGAAGCCTTTGAAGATCTCGTCTGAATTCGAAGATACATATTTACTATCCGCATAATACGCCCGATAACGGGTCGACGATAAAAGGAGATGCAAACGGACGATGAATCGCGAAATGAAATCGAAGGAAAGAAAAAAGAACAGAAATGAGAAAAAGAAGAGAAATGAGACGAGTTTCGATCGCAGCGGAGATCAAAGGGACGCAAAGAGAGAGGTATATGTTTTAGGTACTTTTACCTAAAAAGAAGAAAAAAAGGAAAAGAAAGGAAATACACAGCGTCAAGGTTCGATATCGCGTTGCGTACGGATGAATTACGTTGCGTAACGAATGTCTGCGCGAGCCACGAGTGTCTGAGCGCGGGGGATGCGGCGGCGCTAATTTTAATTACGCCTTTTCCTTCATTGCGACGTCGCGTATGTACTCGTAGTAGTCGTCGTTCTCGTCGTCGCCAATTGACGTGAATTGGGGGAAAGCCACGTCAAAGACGCGGCATAGCACATCCGCCATTAGGCGGCCAAAGACCCCGCGCTTCTCTCCCTCCCTCTCTCACTCTCTCTCTCTCTTTCTCATTCTCGGCGCAAGTGCATGTGCATCGCGTCTCGATGCATCCTGTTCCAGCTGCATCCGCAAGTGCACACACACGGCCGATATCGCCCCGAGAGACGAGCGCGCCGCTATCTAGGGGTGTCCATGACATTTCCAAGTAACTTACTACTTCGCCAAGTCGCTCGTTAAATATAGAAAACCCTTCTGGCTGTCTAAGAAAATTATTGCAAATATTCTACACTTATGTACGAGCACTAACTGGCAGAGGTCTGCTGGGCGCGCAACGTAATTGGGTAACTAGGACTTTCTAACCGTGCATACATATTATTGATCGCAGCTGATCGTTTGTTGATCATCCAGAGAGACGGTGTGACGATGTGGGAAATCGGTGATCTGTCACTGTGAATTCGCACGCTATATATCGCTGCAGCTACTTCTCCGTTACACGGGAAAAAATTTGATGTTAAAAATTACTACAGAATTCATCAAGGAGTGAGTCGACAGTCTGCAGTAATCGACTGTTTTCTCGTCTTATAAGCGTTATTTCTATTTCAGGAGCTGAAATGTGATATTAAAGATAATTGCTGTGTTTACAACGAAATTTACCGTGTTCCTTAGCAAGATAGACTTTACTGTCAATCTCACTCCACACCACTAGAGAAATAGTAACATTTAAAAGAAATTATACGAAGAATAATAACTGTAATATTCGTGTTGAATTACAATAAAACATAGTTTGCGTCGGAAATGACTGTAATTATATAGCCAGATTAATCATTTTCTCTCACCACGCAGTTATTCTGCCGATTAATGTACATTGTGAGAGAAAAATATGTAAGAAATAATGAAATTTACTTGTTGGATTATTTATATACACACACAACAGCATTATTCAAACATTTTTCAAATAAGGAAATACTTCCTTAGAATCCTTAGAATCCCTTAAGGAAACCTTAGTTCTTCCATGAAAGGAATTATTTATTCCATTTAAAGAAAAGAATTAAGATGTAAGGAAATATGTTGTTAGTATCTACCAAATAGATATTTACTGACATTTGGATATTTTTTCTCTCGACGTACACGCGTAAAGATCAGTGCATCGTATCGACTGAATTTTGAAACAAGAAGTAACCCCGGCGAGTAGGTTAACGATTTTTTTTTCTTAATAATACCGCGCAGTGTCGTTCAAGCACGCGTTCACGACGAATTGTTAACAGCCGCGTTAATTACGAGTCAAAAGTTATGCATGCACGCGCACGCGATCGTAGCACGCACGCACGCGATAATCTCTCGGATAATAGTAACAATCCTATGTGTATATGTGTAGGAGCGTGTGGGTTCTGCCGTTTTATAACGATGAGGAAGAAAAGAAAGCTGCGTCGTCGTCGCCTTTTACCACTATTCATTGTTAACCACTATCGATTGCGATTGTTTTCAAAGGCTGCCGGCCTTAATAATGCATCCACAACGGCGGAAGTTGCTGAACTTTTCCCCGGTCGTGCGACGAACTTCGAAGTTACGCGGACGGCGTCGTTTCGCGTAAATAATTTCTGCGCACGTTTCTTATCGTAGAAACGTTGCAAGTACTCTGCACACACACACACACACACACACACACACACACACACACACACACACACACACACACACATACCGACCGTACATGGATACACATGCCGACGAGGCGCGTCGAGAAAATGAATTACCGCAGCTGGCTGGACTGCTCGAGTATGGCTGATAACGATAACGTGGAAGCGCGAGCGTCGCGAATGCGACGTGCAGTTGGCGCGGACTCGGAAGCGTGGATTCCCAACGAGATTGATATTGCGGATCGACGGCAATCGCACAAACGAGAGAGATATTTTCCTCTTCCGTGAGTAAACGATTACCAAATTACACCGCACATTCCTGGGAGTGCAAATAAATCTCGCTCGAAACGAGTGGAAATCCATTCGACTAGTGAAAACACTAGCCCGGCACGGAATCGCAAGGGCGAATGTTTCAATCGGACTCGAAGTGGATTCTTAATCCGTGCGGGTGAATGTTTCAATCGATTAGAGCAAATCTGTTCTCGTGTGACGGGGAAGCACAGGAAATCCACTCTACAATTTCGAGCGAAGATATTCCATGGGCCGTTTAGGATGGAAGGATTCGCTCTATCGAAGCGAAAAGTCGCTCGAGCGATTCGATTGTGTCGTCCTACTCTCCGAGTGGAGTTCCACTCACTCGAGGAAACTGCAAGTGCAATTAATCCTCCTCTCCACACAGTTAATGAATGATATTACTAGATTACCTAATTACTAAATTACATTTCGTCTCGAGCACTTTCGCCCGCTGAATTTCCGCGTCGTAATGCACCTCGGCTGAAATATCGTACGCGTGAAGCCGTCGCGTTGCGGCTGACATATACAGCTCGCATATGCGTACGTGCGTGTGTGTGTGCGTATGTGTATACGGTGTGCATCTGCGCCCGCGTATACAAACGCACCGATACGCGCTGTGCGAAGTCGCGAGCTCGAGAAGTCGTCGTTTTAGCACGCAAGCGGAATAACCCGCGGTGGATCTGCGCGCCATGTGCGCGGCCTTTGTTTTGCAACTTTCTAGGGAAGGTTCTCGCGTTCGTTGACGCGCGCACATCACGGCCGGATTCGCGACGACGATCTTTACGTCGCTCGTCGACCGATCAATCGAGCTACTCCTCTGTTTATGTCTCCCGATTTTACGGCCCATCTGGTCGTTTCCCGCGCGCTTTCCGAGCTGTTTTCGCGTTTGGATCGGGCAAGTGTCGTCGTTTCCACACTCGCGGCGGTCGTGTTGCTAATAATTGCGGCTTTAATTGACGTGAATTCGCGACGAGGTCGGCGAGTGCGTAGGTACAGGCCAAGTTTTATTGAGGCCTTCACATTTGCCAGGAGAAAATTCCTACATGGAAAAAACAGTACGGTGAGAGCCCACACATAAATCTGGTCGTGCCAACTAGACTTCATAGTAAAGTACAGAACAACTGATTGTGTGGTTACTGCAACCACAGAGCAATTGCCGAGTTACAGTGACGATATCTGGTTACTCCAAACAGAATGTATCCATTAGTGAATGTCATCCCAACCGATTTCTGATTGCCACGACCGGATCACGCGCAACTACATTGATGTAGTTGATGTACCAAAGTAACTGAGTCATATCGACCATACACATTACCACCACACAAAGATAACTAAAGTGATGTAACTGTACTGCTCTTAACAAAATATTTCTGATTGTGTGTGCATTATATCCTTTTTTTCCGTCTAATACTGCACTTCTAAGCAGAATCGTAAGTCTCGTAACTTGTTCTCGTAAAATACGTAAGAATTTATGAGTAGATTTACAATTGTGTGCAATATCATATGTCGTATAATCACTTGTAAATATTGTAAATTACATGAAATCGTAGATATTTACGAGTAATTATACGACATATAATATTGCATAGAATTGTAAATCTACTCATAAATTCTTACGTATTTTACGAGAACAAGTTACGAGACTTACGATTCTGTTTAGAATATAAATCATTCTTATCGTATCTCTGTATGATTATATCTATAAAGTAGAATATCTGTCTATATATATATGTGTTTCCCTATACATTCCTAAAGCCTTTGATCTCTCTGGATCAAATTTTACATAGTTACTCTTTAAGACCCGGCAGAAAACAGGCTACATGAAACTTGGACACAGCCCACTCCCTTCTTCTGATTTCATCCCCTTGACATGTCGCGATAACTCGGGCAACGTCGGATAGTTTTAGCTAGTATCTAATACGATACACTGAGAGGAAAAATGACTGGCTTCGCTAAAATAAAAGTCATTTTCAGCGTCATTCATACAGATCGGAAAAAGTATAATGAGAAGAAAATATTTGGTGTGTTTGTGTAACTATAATCGCATAAAGAAATAATTACTATAAATTATGACCAAGGAAACAATTTTTCTAGTAAACTCTACTATGATATTAATAATAATAACCTTATGTGTATTTTATTGCCACTATTTTAGTACGAAAAAAATATGGTTTGACTAAAAAACCACTTTCTTTTTTCAATGAGTTTTAGATTAGTATTCTCTTAAAGTGAATCAGTGAAACATCATTGAAAGCAGTAAATATACACTAATTTGCAGCTATAAGTACAGCAGTGAAATTGTTCAATGCTATACTTATAACTGATATCAGTGATTATTCGCTGATTCACTTTAAGGGAGCAACTTGATTTTAAGGTTTCAAAAATGAGCACATTTTACGAATTTTTTCTCCGAAATTATGCGGACGACAAATATCAAACTTTGTATAGTCATTAAGACATATTTTATTAAAACTTTCTAATTTTTATAAGAAGAAATAATATATAAAATCATAGTTATAATGATATGCGTGCAAGGTGTTGATTTTCATGATCACCACGATTGCGAGTCTCTCCGTGGTCTGAAATAAAAAAGCAAGTAAGGAAATTAATTTACAGACTTATCGTTATCGTCTGAAATACGGGAATGCAAAACGAACCATTTTTTTCAATTAATTCAAGGCATATAAACATAAAATTTAAAGAATGGACTAAAAATGTTACGTTTATACATCTTAAATTAATTGAAAAAATGGTTCGTTTTGCATTTCCGTATTTCAGACGATAGCGGTAAGTCTGTAGATTAATTTCCTTACTTTTTTGTTTCAGACCACGAAGGGACTCGCAATCGTGATGATCATGAAAATCAACAATTTGCGCGCATATCATTACAACTATGATTTTACATATCATTTCTGCTTTTGTAAAAATTAGAAAGCTTTAATAAAATATATCTTAATAACCATACAAAGTTTGGGATTTATC